GGAAAGGGACGAGCTCACCTATGTATTTCAAGACGTTATCAGCTGGTCGATAACTTTTTTTGGTGCTGATCTGGAATTAATTTAATATCTCAGGTAAAAGGAGTCAAACTTGAGTTTGAGCACGGGGTAGATATTTGGGTGTGCTGTCTCTACTTTGAACCGTTTGTGGGCCGGAGGCAAGTAAACAACGTTCTCATTGTTGCCAGGCCTCCGCCAAGAGTACGCAGCGAGCGCTTCTCGGCGCAGTTCTGGTTCTTCCTGCAATTCTACAAGGCGAGGCACATTCAGCGACCAGGAGCTCGATGCGCAGAGCTTGGAAGATGAAGAAGACGGCATGCATCACACAGTCCACCCTGCTGTTAACAGGTTCTCACCATCCCCTCGTAGTTCTCCCTGGCCTTCACCGAAGCAGTCTCCGAGGAACTCGCCCCGCTCCCGCTCGCCCGCTCGCAGCATAGAGTACAGCCGGGCGTCGCCCCAGCCCATGATCAGCCGCCTGCAGCAGCCTCGGCTTTCCCTTCAGGGCCATCCTACAGATTTGCAGACTAGTAGTGTCAAAAGTGAAGGTAAAAAGCCCTGTCTCAACTTCTCTGCGTAAGTCATTGTGTAACAGAGGAATTTGGTCAGTGCACGGTGTAACGTGGTGTGATGTCAGTTGTAGAAGAAGCAGCAGAGCAAGCAGACTTTGGTTCTGCTGGGGAGCCTTCGCAGTCAGATGAGTTGATAGCCTTGTATTTATTTTAGGTGTTACCCAGTCACTCTGGGTGTAATTGAGTTTCGTGGTGACCAAGTTCTATCTTTGGCAGGCAAATGCACTAAAATAAAGGCAAGCCCAAGGGAAACTATTGTTCACCTTGCAGATGATAGAATAAAATTCAGGGAGAGTAACTGGGGTCACATAAGATTAATGTGGCAATTTATGCATGCCTGTAGCCTGTGAAATACATGTATGGTTTCTTCTGGCAATGCAGGACTTTGAACTCTTTGAGCATGAACGCAGCCTTAAAAGTATTGGATTAAGTTATGGATTTGTTGGGACATTTTAGGTATCTCAAAGCTGTGCAGACTGCTTTATAATAAAAAATAAAGCTTGCAGTAAACTTGACACAATTGTGCTATATTGGCATAGAACAAAGTAATGTAATCATGATATGATTTTTTTTCTTCTTCTTGAATGCACTTTCTCCTGGTACCAATCTGGCAGAAGTTCCTCTAACTGAGCTGAAATTTCACAACCATATTCCCATTTTAAGAAATTTAGTTGTTACCTGGCAAATAAAATCTTAAATTCAGAAGGAGTATGCATTTAGCTATTAAGAATTCACCTTATTTTTTTCATCTTTTAAGTAAGCTAGATGCAAAATGTCTGTATAGAGATGATGTAGAAATGCATTTTTAAGCAGGTTTATTTTGGGTTTTTTTTTCGTGGTGTTGGTTGGTGCGGTTTTTTTTCCTCACTAATATAGCAAAGAGGTCAATGCCACTTACAGAATTTCACTGACTAAGAAATTTTAGAATTTTAATTAGGAAATTCAGTGTGCCAGGCTAGAGATATTGAAGAAGATAATCCTGCAAATTTAATTAGCTGTTAAAGAATGCCTTTGGAAGAGTCAGCTTAAGTATCATCTACTAATAGTGGTATGGGGAGATTTTAGGTAAATAGAAAAATGTATAACGCAAAAGCTTATCAATTATGTTGTGACTTAGTTGAGAATTTGCTTCCCATTCTTTTCGTTAAAGTTTTAATGCATGCGAGATGAGCTACAACAAAAATATCCCATGAGAAGCAAGGTACCAAAATCTGGTATCCCACATACCAGAGGGATCAAAATAGAGCATGCAATCATGTGTTTCTGAAACACTTCCAAGGAATTCTTGTGCAGTGTTTTTTTTGTGCAGCTGCACGATGCTTGCATATTTGGAGCAGATAAAAAGTTATTTGGGATTTTTTTTATTTCTCTAGAACAGTTAGAGGGAAATGTAGTTGACAGTTCAACAATGAACCAACTGTAGAGCAAAGCAATGCAATATACCTGTAGGAATACTTGAAGACTCTTACTTTTGGTTTCATTGCTAGTGCTTGTGCATGGTTAGCATATTTGTTTCCTGCATCCCCCTACAGAATCAGGTTGGCCACTCATCCTGACAAGGCATCTGCAGTCTTCTGTCCAAAGTATGTCATCAATGCAGCTCCATGTGGGTTGGAGATACAGAGAATGTCATTAGATTTGAGAAATATTTAATGGCATCTTTTTGTATTTTGTAAGCAATGTTACAATTTTTAGAAGACCCTTGAAGAACCAGTATTAGCTGAATAGTTAGTCAAGCCATGTGAAAAATGAAGCATAGCTGGACACTCCAATAATTTTGAATGCTGTGTATGAAGAGTTTCCTCCCAAGTGGGTGGCTGTTACTGGATGTTTAATGCATTGATATGGGACTGGTTAGGGAGTCCCAAAAATTGACTCAAATAAAAACAAAAACTGTGGGTTTTTTTTAAATGTTCAGGCAAGCATTCTATATTATAAATTACTTCTTAGGTCAAGACTTCAAAAACTGTGCAAAGCTGCAAATTAGGTTTGCTTATTCAGTTTCTATAACAGAATAAAACCCATAGAATCATAATCCAGGTATGTTTTAGTTTCAGCACATGCTATGCTTGACTTTTTACACCAGAGGTAAAAAATGTACATTCATTTTATATATTTACTACGTGATAGATCTGAGAATAATATAGAACATTCATTCAAGATACTAGAAGAACTGTAGTGTAATAAAATACACTTTTAAACTGCAGTGTCGATTTATATGGCTAACATTTTGTGTCAGTTAATTTTGTGTTAGTTAAATTTGGGTTCCACTGTGGGTTCATAACACAAACTCTGTCCAGCATCAGACTACATGTTGTGGTATCTTTGTATTATTTCATACAGAAAAACTAAGGCGTAGTCTTCCAAACCTGTCCAGGACATCCAATATCCAAGCTGAGTCTGTGAAAAACAGCAGAAGTGACTCCAACTTCCAAGTGCCAAACGGAGGAATACCTCGCATTCAGCCTCAGGCCTCAGCCAGTAAGTACCTGCAGTGACGTGTTAGGCTGCGTGTCAGAGCTGAGCCAGTTTCATGGCAAAGAGAAAAACTGCCTGCCACGCTGGAGGTGCTCATCTGGATTGGTTTTAATCATACCTGTGTGAACCTGCTGTTTTGGTACACCAAATCTGGCAGTGATTATATTCAAGACTGTCTGATCTCTTATTAAGGTAGCATTCATTAGTTTCCTAAAAGTGTATGTAGAATTACTATGAAGAGTTTGAATACAGTAGTTAGACTTTTCAGAAACTGTTTTTCTGTGATTTGCAGAGCATATAATGCTATGTACTGTTGATTTTATTTTCGGACCTCAAAAACTTACTAGGCTGTGAAAATATCTACCTAGATGATGTTTATTACTTTTTAGCTAGTGAAACTTGATCTGAAAACATTCATGCAAGTTCAACCCTTGCTTGCAGTTTCTTTTTGTCTTTTTTTTTGCCACCTGGAAATTTTATGTTCGGTTGCAGATTTTATTTACTTTTTTTTAAGTGTCAGTTACTTCTTAGGAAAGTTGTCCACCACTGGGCTAGTGGCTGCTAGTGTATCCAAAAGTGAACTGCTGATAGGAGAATGCTGCTAATCTCACAAGCCTCTTGAAAATGGTGACCTTAAAGAAGCTAAAGCAAATGTAGCTTAAATAGTCAGTATTTCTTTATATCTCATTATAGACAGTTCCTGTTGTTTAAATGTTTCCTGACCATTTTATTTTACAAGTTTCAGAATTTAATAACCTTGTGTGACATTTTCAAGGGAAGAACATATTATGAATATTATTGTTTGTAGAGCTATGAACTATAGAAATTCTATGATAAAAGTTCATCAGTAATCTAAATATTTGACAGGAAATGTAAGATAGGATTTGTGTATGAAACTAATTTTTTTTTTTAATCCTTTAAAAAGTAAAGGCATAAGGACATACCTAGTTGGCCTTCTTAACTGGTCCTTGCAAAACAGTGTGTTAATGCATCCAAATAGAGTTAAACACAAAATAGGGAATACAGACCATCCCAAAAAGTACCTTTCTGTCTTTGGAGTGACTCAGATCAGATGTAAGGGTTGTGTAGACAATCGGCCCCAGGTGTGTGATGCTGCAGTCAAAGGAGACAGTGTGACTGTGTGATGGTTCATGTAGGGTAACCCAGAATCCCTTCACCTTGCACCTCCTTTCCACCTTTCACAAGCACTCAGAAGGTGGGATTTACAACTGAAAGGGCATGTGTGTAGTTCAAATGCAGGACTGTCAGGCAGACTTTTCAAACTATAAAGCACTCGGAGCAGTTGGGTAGCGGCTCTCCAGCTGTGTTATTTTTGTGATAGGAGGAGTGATCAAAATAACCTGAATGAAAATGAAGGAAAGAATATCTTTAGTAAAAATCTGTACTTATTTGGTGTTTTAAAACTGAGTGAACTGGGAAGGGAAGAAGCACAGAGGGCAGCTTAGTTGCCTACGAGGCTATTTACAGTATTAACAGTATATTCACAGTGAAACTTGATGGAAAGATCAGACAGCAAAAGTCTCAATATTTAGTTCATTGCAGTATCCAAAGCAGTGTGACTTACATTTATACATAAAAGTTTTTTCAACTTGTGGATTAACTGAGAGTTACAGAAATTTAGGTAAATTTGCTTGCCCCTCATGGAAGTCCTTCCCAAAGTGTGAACCACTCTAGACCAGCTTACATTTAAATGCAAGTTAAATATCACTAATAAAGGCCAGATTTCTAGCTTTTACAGTTTCCCTGCTCTTACAGATGTTTGTCAGAGTCTTGCTATTGACAATCGTAAAACGGTTTGTGTATGAAGTCGATGAGTAAGTATCTTTGCTTAGTCTGGATTTAAAACCTTCTTCAAAACTGTACATTGTATAAAAATTTCCAGAATTGTGTCCTTTTTATTGTATATTTTTTGTTTTCTTGGTTTTATATTTTGTCGCCTTGCACAAAGCACTGTTAAATTGCAGCAAGTTTTTGTTTTCCCTTGGCAATGACTTCTGGTTCTTGGGATTTGAAGCTTCCTCATACACCTGCTAGTTTTGCATGAGCTTGCCTTTGCAAGGATGCTGGCTTGCCACCCGAGGTCACTACTTTTCTCCTTGTCAAAGATCTGCTGTTTATAATTTACCTGCACATTTGCTGTGGCTGCGATACTGAACTTGCTATGGTTGCTGGCATTCAAAAATGAGTTAGGAATCCAGTAAGTTTCTGAACAGACAATTCCTGTTGTGATTACATAGGCAAATTGTAAATACTTGCTTGAAGAGTAGAGGGAAGACACGTTTAGAGGCACAACTGAAAAACATGAAAATGTTTGGCCTTTTAGGTTTTAGCTGTAGTGTGGTGAAAAAGCCAGTTTCTTTTTGAAAAGAGATTAAACAGAATAGCAGTTGTGAATATTGGAATCTTTGTTTCTATATGATTCTCCATGCAGAGAGTACTTTTTTTTTAATATGCAGCAATATTTTTGTTCTCCAAGGAACAGATATCTTTCAAAGTGTTTGTTTAGAATGATAGAATGTCTCTACGTTTAGTTTCTCCACCAAAGATGGTGCAAAGCTGTAGAGCTAGGGTGGCTTCCATGTAGGAGCTACATGCTTTCTAGTGGATTGTGTGTGATACTTACCTGGCACTACGATCACATGGATGTTAAACCTTTATGCAGAGCTAAATGTAATAGTTTTTCAGAGCTAGGCTATAGATTGTTCAAACTATCAGTAAAGTAACTGGTCTGCTTGACAAGATCGAGCTGCTTGGCATGTTGAGGGTAAACGAAGAAAGAGCGTGTTTTTAGGAAACCAAGTATTCCAGTTACCAGAGGCAAACATAACTGTGTATATTCAGCATGCACCATTTGTGACAGGTACTGTAATAGAATACAGAGCACTTCAAGAGCAGCAAATAGAGTGGCTAAGCCTGCACTCCATGCTTATCTCAAACTGCATGTTTCTTCAGCACTGCCCAGATGGCACTGCCCGAAGTTCTTTTCAGCCATTCAGTGCACAGAATTGTTTAGCTATTGAGTCTTTCTTCCTAGAGGCTCCACTGAGAAGGAAGGAATTTTATATATGCACTTTAAATCCTTTCCATATCATCCCACATCTTTGACTTTTAAGTAGTGTAAATAATGATGAGGGAAGAAACATAGTGTCATGTGCAGTGACATGTTTAACTGAACAAATTAGGGCAAACTAAATTCAAGACCATAAATATGAAGGAAGAAGCTGTTTTTCATTTTGTATGGTAAAACAAAAACACTGATTCGGTAAAAAATGGAATACTTGTGGACAGAAACACTCTGGCCAGTGGTCTCTCTCACTAAATTCTTAGGAATTGTGCTCATTTTTAAACATCTTACTGTACTTAATTGGCTGTTTGTGGGTATGCCTTAAAAAAAAGTTCATAGCAAGGTCATGTGCCAGGAGTTGAATAAGGATTGCTTGTTACCACGTGCTTTTTTGCATTAGATTCTAGTTGGTGGAAGGAATAGTTATTGTATTCTTAATAACCAGAGATAGTATTTTATCATGTTTATAAATACATTCCATATGTTTATAAACAATATAAAACCATTCCTTTTTGTTGTTTGTTGAAAATTACAGGGTGTAGTTAGTTATTAAGACTGAAAAGAATACACCATCTAGTCATATTTCCAGAATGAAGGTAACTCACGATGAACTTTTGGGGTTCACAACATACTGTGAATTTTGCACTGAGTAAGGATAGGAAAGGTGATGGACATTATTAGGTGCTATCAAGTTTAGAAAACCATTAACTAATTTTAGGATTCTAACTGTTCTTCCCCCACCTTCTTTGTAGTGATATTCACCAGCTGGTGATAGGATTCCTGAGCTTCCTTATTCAGGGTCAGGATCTTCACGCACAGTTGCGCCCCCATCTTTCTTCCTTCTCCCTAGTGGGGTCAGCGTGCCGCGGGTGTAAAGCTCCGTGCGCGGAGGTGAGCAGAGCTGTTAATTCACACGTGACCCTTCCTCAGAGCCCCTGTGCAGGCCGAGCTCTGTTTCACTGCCTGCTTCCATCCTCCCCTGTCACATACGCTGCCGTGAAACTCCGCTGAGTCGGCGCCTTCCTTCTGGCAACAGGTAATTCTCTCCTTGCCAAGGTTCTGCAGCTCTTGGAACATGGGCCTCTCTCTTGGTCACTAGTAGGTAGTCAGGTCATTTCAAGGCAGTATCAGCCCTTGAGTTTTACTAGTAAAAAAGGCAGGGCATAGAAGCAAAGGAGCAATAAAAAACAATTTCTGTCATGCTGTCTATGTGCTGGCATCTGATAATTCTTATTGTTATGTCTTCATTTTAAGTTTGAGCCCTCCTGCATACCCTTTTGGAAAGCCAGACATCTCTCAAAACGCTTGTTTGCATAACTGAAAAATAAAATTTGTTTCTATGATCACATATAGACAAAGATTTATGCTTTTGTGTAGTGTTAGGGGTTTTTTTAAATTCTGCTAAAATGAAAAGTGTAGTCTTGGTAAGTCAAATATGGGAGTTTAATTTTCATCTTTTTATCTAATCTTGCGCTCATTGCTGTAGCATGTTTGCTAGGTGGCTTGTTTTCCATTTGGTGTATTAATTTTTTTTTTTTTTGCTTTTCTGGGCTTTTTGCCCTCCCAGAAGCTTTACTCTTACAGAATCTGCGCATTTTGCACTGCAAAATTTCTGACACGCTCCTCTAACTCTTGCCACTAAGAGCAAGCACCATTTAAAAAACCCCACCACTTCCACAGTCATTACAGCTTTTTGAGTGTTACTCACTCTCTTCCTTGATGCTTCACAAGTGGATACAATTCTGAAATTCCCAGTAAACTTAGTTTTCTTATCTTCTTAGACAAATATAACACTTCTTGTCTTTCAACAGCTCTGCAAAGGCAGAAAAATTTGCCTCGTGCTGCCTTCAAAACCAAACAGTTTCTTCAAACTCCATCTACAAAAGGAGGTAATTAACTTACAACCTCTTATCAAGCTCCAGCAAATCTCAGATAATTGTTCACCTGCATAAATCTCACATATTCTAGATTAATAAAATTTCTGTTGCATGTCAAGATTAACATAGTGGTCCTTGCTGTATGAGAGTTAACTTTTTGGTCTAAACACTAAAAATACGACCCTGCATTATGTAGGGGAAAAAGAATCAGATTTTATTTTGAGATTAAAATCAAAGGATTATTGGCTCCTAGTGTATTTTAAGGAAATCTGAATTAGAAAAGTAGACTCCTGAATGCATAGTCATTAGAGCTACATCTGGATTGGAGTATTTTAAATTGTAAATGACAGTTTTTTAACAAAAGTTGTAAAAAAATTATTCTTTTTTGATTGTGCAAAAATCTGCAGGCAAGTGAAAATATCACTGTGCTGGAAGCAAAAGCTAATGAGTTTATCCTTGAGAAGAACAGCACAGAATGTCAGCTTGTGCATACATGTGCAAGTGCTTGCACTTTCTCATCTCAAAACTGGAAGATTAACCCCAACACACAGTAACTTAGATTTGTATTTTTTTCCTCAAGAAATTGGAGACTATTGTATATAATGCTTCGGTTTGCTAACAGCTGAAGTTGGCTTGTTTTTGACTTTTTGAGAAGAAATATTGAGTCTCTAAACTAATTAGACAAGTTTTAACTGATTTTTAATTAATTCTGGCAGCCTTGTGTCTGCGTCAGTTTCACTACTAAGATGAAACAAGTTCATGATTTTGGTTTTAAGCATAGTTGGTCCTGTTGTCTATTACATTCTAGAAGATTTCATTTTAAAGGTCATATTTCACTCGAGACCGATTTATAAGCTCTGTATCTGCTAGAACCCTTTAGGGGTTGTGGGAGACCTTCGTGCAGATGCTGAGGGTGGCTGACAAAATGCACACCTTTCTCTCAGTGGTTTAACAATGGAAACTTCTTTGACTCAACTTTGTTCCATGCAGAAAGTTTTAGTATAATGTCCTTGAAACAGATTCACAAGGTTTAATAGGAGTTCTTTAACAGTCTTCATAATATTTCATACCAAATAGGGAGAAATTCTCTCGATATTCTCCTTTGGCATAAAACCACTATCTCAATTCCTCTGCAAAGCTTTCCATGCTGTTTGTCCAGTTGGCCATGACTTCACCTTCATCCGGGTGTCTGGAACACTTATTAGGTGGATAGGCCTAGTGTGGAGCTGTGGAAATGTACAGAAAATTAACTTCTCTTTTAATTTATATTACTGGTGAAATTTTATTAAACCTTAGAAAACTGGCAGTGCAACATGCTTGTTACGTATTCCAGTTCGTAGTTGCTGTCATTCCTTGCTGAAAATGAGGACCCAACATGTCCTTTTACAGTTATTTGCTATTTTATAGTCCTTGATGTGTTGATTTTCTTGCTTCTGATCCACGATTCTCACAAGTATAGGTGCCTTATGCAGTAACAAAACAAGACTTCTGTTTCAAAAGAACAAACAACTATGAACAACAATTGCATTTAGTATCTTAAAATACTATTCATTATATAGCTTGACGTTTTCACAAACAGATGCTGGCTTTTTTTACCATTTTGTGTAAAACAGTTCAGAATACATTCAAATAACTCTTCACTTCACTGTAACAGATTTGTCAAGGCTTATACAGCAGTAGACAGTGTCAGTTGGATCACAGAATGGTTTGGGTCATCTAATCTAGCCACCCTGCAGTGAGCAGGGACATCTTCAACTAGATCAGGATGCTCAAAGCCCTGTCCAACCAGACCTGGGATGTTTCTAGGGATGGGACTTCACCAGCTCTCTGGGCAGCCCATGCCAGTGTTTCACCACCCTCACTGTATAACGTTTGTTCCGTGTATTTAGCCCAGATCTACCTTCTACTGTTTAAAAACCATCATCTCTTGTCCTTTTGCAACAGGCCCTGCTAAAAAGTCTGTTCCTGTCTTTCATACAGGTCCCCTTTAACTGCTGAAAGGCTGCAATAAGGTCTCCCTGGAGCATTTTCTTCTCCAGGCTGAGCAACTCCAACTCTCTCAGCCTTTCTTCATAGGAGAGAATGACCCCTCTGATAATTTTTGTTGCCCTCCCCTGGACCCACTCCAACAGGTCCATGTCTTTCCTGTACTGAGGTGACAGAACAGTTTATTCCCATTGTTTTCCCTCACCTGTTCATTTGTATTGGTCTCTATCTTCTCATCATGATGGCTGTGATTTAAAAACTGCATTAGAACTGATTCTGGTTTCAAGTTAGTGGCCTTGGGATGCAAGCCAGGAAAGGTTGTAGCTTCACAGCATCCACCACATGGGGATCTCTTGCTCCATGCCCACAGTCCAGGGCAGAATCCAGAGAGGATGGGAAACCTAAATGCCATGACTACACAGTGCTATTTATTTTTTATTGTTGGCAGATGTTTTAATTGTAGTTGGTTCTAGTTGTTTAGTTTCTAAGTAGATACAATTGTGTAAAATTGTTAAGCCCTACCCTCACACTTGTATGAGCTTTTATTAAACATGGATCAGCCCACATTTAGTAAAAACTCAAGTATAAAAACCCAGCCCAAGTATAGTGGACATGGGTATAAAATTATCAAAGTCTTCGACTAAGGCAGCACCTCACTCTTTGTGGTCCCATCTTACACACAGACCAAACTGAGCTTTATTAAATATCCAAAACTGCTCTAAGACAAAGTTCTTTATATGTAGAGAATTATTAGGCAGTTTGCCAGGGATTGCATCATGTGGACCTCTTTGGAAGTCCCAGCACATTGGAAGACAATTAATTCCTTTATATGCAGGAATGAATACAGCTCTCAGCAATGTCTGCAATGCTGTGCTGACAGGAAATGTTTTATGAATTGACAGCTCTAGTTGGACACATGGTAAAATATGGTCAACAGAAAGCTGGAGAGAATGGAGAGGACTAATTTACTGGATGCTTACTTTCACTGGGAAAGTGACAAGCTTTCTTCTGTTACAACTTTTCATTGTTTGTATTCTGTGCCTAAAAACCCCTTCCTTGCTGTGCTTTGTAGAGGCAAAAGCTGTATTCAGTTTTTGTACACTGGCACTGCCCTGTGGGTCAGCTGCTAAAGTGATGCCATATTTGTGTGCCAAGCGAGCGCTGTAGTGAGAAGAAGAGTGGTAAAAGCTCCCTATGTTTGCACTGTAGAATCACTTGGAAAGTCTGCAGATTGAATTGCACCAATGTTAGAGGCAATGTCACATTTTAAAAACTTTAATATGTAATCTATCTCAGTCCTAGGAACACTTCGCTGCTATTTTTGTCCAGTAATTCTGCTGTTAGTCCTTTCCTTAATCCATCCTCTGGCTTGATGCCAAGGTTTTTATTTTAAGGGGTTTTATTTATTCTCTTCACTACTTACCAGCTGTCATGTATTGTTGACATCTCTGCCACCTTTTTTTGTCAGCTTTTCCTGTGAGCGGCTGTGTTTGATATCACTGGCAGTGGAAAAGGCTCTCTTTGGGTAATCTAGAAAGGAATAAATCCAATTTGCATCTGTAATGAGGCTCATATTACTCTTCCAAGGCATACCCTATAAGAAATGGCTTCAAAATAAAACCTAAAAATTACCACTTCCCCCTTACCCCACTTAGGATGCCATGTTTCTATCATTACTAATCTTCTCTATCATGTTCTTAGTGTATCTACCTTGTAAAATGATAATAAAAGCTATCTGAAGGACCATCTTCTTTATGTACTATGTCTGTCAAAGAGAGCACAACTTTGGTGTTTAGTGGAGGAAAGAATAGTTTGTGCAGATTCACTAAATGTAAATGTGATTTTTACTTTCCTGATTGATTTGATTGTCCCCTGTTGACTGTGTACTGACACACCCTAATTAGCTTGAAAAGCTGGTGAAATTCCATTTGGGTAGTAAGGTGATGGGTTAGTTCATTGTTTAGTGATTACATTATGTGTCATTTGAAAATATTTCTCATACTCCTGAAGAACCGTGTGTGAGATTTGGCATTATCAAAGAACTGTTGAATATCCTGGTTTACTAACCTTTCCCAGAAAGGACTTGATGAAGACCTTACATATTAACTCAGATACGAAGTCTGTTAATACAGCTGTGAGTTCTACTGATAATTTAGATAATGTTTGTAAGAAGAGGAAGGACATAAACTGTTGTAGTTGTCTGGTTTAAGCTTCATAGAAGCACCTTAATCTCTTTGGTGTTGGGTGTTGACTGACCCTACCTTTTGGGGTTTTTTTTGCCATCAGCCAATAATCTGGGGTATGACCATATGTTTAGCTGAGTTCTAATTCAATGGATTTGGTTAAAAAGAACAGCATAAAAGAAACACCTAAGATGCTCTGCCTCACTCAGCATTTCATCATTGAAGGCAAATATATGCTTCAGATCTATTTAAAGACTGTAGCACCCTAGAACACTGTATTCTTTGACACATTCTTTCAGGGATGGGAATTAGGTTCACACGTTTCTGAAGCTGTTAAATTTCTTCTTAAAAAATACATTCATTTTCTTTTTTCTTAGTTACTACTTGCAAATCCAGATAAATAAATATTTGTAGCAAGCAAATGGGGCATTAGAGTTATGATATCAAAAAAATATAAGACAAAGAGGACATCTGAATTCCTTTTTCTCATTGCTGCTTGATTGGCTGTATTCCATTATACATTTCATATCGTTTGAATGTTCACATAAAGTACTTTCCTGGTTTTAATTTCAGTTATACTGTAACTCAGGCTCGACAGTAATTTCTGTGTTTTGTTTTCCAGTACCACCTTCAAGTAAATTCCGCTCACCTGCAGCACCGTCTCCCCTGGCTCTCCGGCAGCCCCTGAAAGCGTTTAGTAACCACGGACCCGGCGCAGTTGCTTCTCCAGAAGCCACGCAGCTGCCACACAGTAGTTCTTCACCAGGGCCGCTTACAGCCCAGAGTTCAGGCTTGCCAAGCCCTGCCAGCAGTATTAACAGTACTACTCTTACCAGGCCGGCAGGGACAGCGGGGATGAGGAGTGGTTTGCCCAGACCCAGTGCCCCTTCCACAGGGGGCATCCCAGTGCCTCGTAGCAAACTTGCACAGCCTGTTCGCAGGTGAGTATGGGACAGGCAGTCTGAGTTCAAAGTGTTCGTCATCAGTTCTGCACGTTCACTGTTTGTGCTGCTCCTCCCTGAAATTCTTACTTTGATCTTACATCTTTAGAACAGAGATGGAGACCTCCATGTGAAGTATTTGCCTGTGTTTCCAAAACAGTTTTGAAGCAAAACTGCGACAAAAAGATTCTTGAAATAGAGTATGAACGTGAAGGAGCAAAAGTGAAATGAATAATGAAAGATATTGAACTAAGTCAATAAAGTGTCTTAGTCTAGGCTGTGGGAAAATGTTACCAAAATACAGCCAGCAAGTGAAAATTCATTTATACCACTGAGTGACACGTTCTGAAGTCAGAACTATTTTCCTCTTGTAATCCGTAAGTCAAGCATGTTGAGAACAGTTTCTCTCCCTGGGCAGACAGAAGCTTCAGGAAGGAAGACATCTGAGGGCAGAGGAAGCATCCATAGTGTTTGCTAAATTTAACATAAAAATCAATGCAGTTAACCCACAGGACAAAACAGAATTTTCAGCTTAAACATAATCTCTCTGCTAGCACCTAGCTGTAGAAGTTGCTTAATGTCAAAGTGTCTTGGAAAACAACCACAAGAGATACAATTATTAACTGGAAAGCAGAAGGAAGTGATGCATAATTTCGAATATGTGCTCTTAATGCCATGCTGATGTGAATGTTCACTGAAGGTGTCAAGGAAGCCAGCTGGCAAAAAGAAGCAGTCAGCCATGAGAAATATTAAGAATCCCCTTATACAGAAATGATAAATGGTTGGTCCCCAGTACTGTAAAAAAAATATAAACCAGCCATAGATACCAAAGTGGAAGAGTTCTGTTCTGCAGTGAGCACTGGGCAGGGGAATGACAACTGACTGTCACAGCACCGACTGTTTGCTGTCCAGGTCTGTGCTGTCAGCAGGGTGAAACGTGCTGTAATAAAAAGTAGTTGTTTTGGAAAGGATGATCTTAATAGTAGTGAACTGTGGTTGTCCAAATCACACCTTGTCGTATAGAAAAGTGTTTCTCTTATTAGACTTGCACAGCTATTTTTTATAGCTTACATAAATAATGCAGTATATGTACACAGTGCCATAATGTAGTATTTATGAATGTCAAGATTTTGATGTAAGCAAGATGTAATACTTTAAACAAGGATTTCCCTGTTTATATATCACTCAAAAAAGGGCATATTTTTAGGTGGCAGCAGAGTAAGTTTGTATTCTCACAGAGTATGACAGCGGAAAGTTTTCTGTTGGTGCAGATGTTTTTCTTACATGGTAGTTGCCAAGATACAACGCAGAACCTGGAACTGAAAATAATTGGGAGTTTTACTTCTTTACAATACAGTTTAGGTAAGATGAGTGAAGCGTATATTTTAAGAATTTAAACATTTTATAAATAATCATGTATTGTAGATGGAGACTTCAAGAGTTATGTATGAAACTGAAAAATATCTCATTTTATTTTAGATCTTTACCCGCTCCCAAAACCTATAGCAACGTGAAAGACGAGAGTTGGAAAGATGGCTGCTACTGAACTGCAGAGCTTAGTGCAAAGTTCCAGTGCCCATGGATGCTTCCTCACCAGGCTAAAAGACAGCTTGATTATACAAACTGTTCAGATGTGACTTTTGGGATTTGTAAAAATTCCAGACCTCTCTGTCTCTAATTAGCACAAACCGACAGAGATAACGAAGCAGCACTTTAATGACATCTAACATCAGATGTTTGGTGGTCATACAATCTCTTCTACATTAAATTGCTATCAGTTCTGGGTGGTTTGGTTTTTTTTTCTTGCTTGCTAAGAAACGTATCAATATGAGCATTTATGACAGTGGCCAATGTCTGGGCAAAAACCTAACGAATGCCAAAGAAATGCCCATCTTGAAAAACAGCAAGTATAACAATCAGCTTCCATTGTTCAAAACTTCATTTTCAGCCTGTTTTAATTCAGCAGAAAGATTGGCGATTATGTACTATTGAACCAAGACTGTGTTAATCAGGGCTAATATTCTGATTGCAGACTGCTACAGTGCTAGTGAAACATTGCTTTTAACAACTGTATGAGGTTCTCATTGGGGAAGGTGGTACGTGCGTCCTTTGGGAAGGGTCAGAAGTTACTCTGGAGGAGTAGGCAGAACAGTAAGTAGTAGCCATGGCTTTTATTAACATGAAAGGTTTGAATGTAGCAGATACACACACAAATGCAATAGTATGGATTGCATCTTTCCTACATCAATAGATCAGCTTTACGTGCTCCTCTACGTTCAGTTGCCAAAAGGGCTCAGTGTCAGTTGTACAGCCTTTCTAACCATGAAGTTCCTGGCTCAGGAAAGATGGCCTTTGCTATCATAGCCACATTTCTAACACGTAGCTTGATACTTCGGGAAAACTTGTGTTTTTTTTTTTTTTTTATAGCAGGCTTCCTTACAAAGGAAAGAGCAAATCATAATGTTAATTTGTTGTAATACCATACCGCTACGCTTGCAGCCTGGAGCAACTGTAAATGCTGATAGTTAAGGAGAAGGAAACACAACTATGCACTTGTAACATACAAATTTTAAGGTAATGAGTTGACTCTTGATGCCAAATGATATTCATTTAGGTGATGTTCCATGGTATGAGGAAGTTTTCTGTATCCTATTTTTTTACTTTCATCCATTTCTTAAATTGGTTTATTTTAAATTGTAAATATTTTTACAGAAGATATTGCCCATGTAAGTGTGTTTAAATATGTACTTTGCCTTATATATGTGTATCTCAACATTACTGGTAACAGAGTATGAAACCTGCTTTGTCTGTTTACAAGCTATTAAAGTCCTCTGGTGGCTCCAACTTATTCTGACACATTTTGCTCAGAACAACTCGTTCATGTATTTAGGATTTGAACTATTGTTTTCTGGTTTGGAAGACATCACACAAACTGTTTGTAACTAAAGGTGTACCGGGTGGGACTAGTTAACGGAAGGGGTATTGTTTGACGCTTTTTCAGTATTTTGGATGTACAGTTGATGAAGTAAGAGAATGTGAATGGTATATCCTTTGTGCAGTGACTGACAAACACTACAAGTTGGATTGGATGGTAGGTAGCCTCAACCCCGTTACTATCCAAGTTTGGAACTGTTGGTGTGTTTTGGTTCCCACCCCTAAGAGTATAACTAATCCTGAAGTTCTAGCACTTGAATTTTAGGCCAGCATTAACACATGTCTGGATGAAAAGCCATGCAATACTACTTGACTTGGAAGAAGCCAAATACGAAAGAGTGGAGACTAATTTGCAGCTCTAATTACTCAAGCAGACTTTGGGTTGATGAATGACTTCACGCTCCAGACCAAGATCTGTGCTGAGACTTTGAAGTCAGGGTATCAAATATACTGTAATTTAGTAAGGTTTCATCAGGGGTAAAGAAACTACCTTGCACCAGTAGAGACCAGTACATACCACTAATCTAGCCTTGTGTCATTCACTGGCACAGAGAATGGATGTCAGTCAGTGTCTCATGTCACTGTTGAGCAGAAGAGAGGACTAGATCAAATGCGCATATCCTCACTAAGCCCGAATTCTGAATGTTTCAGCATTTTACAAAGCAATGTTTTGAAAAAAGGTGCATTTTAACTGGTGGATTTTATCAAATACTTGATTAACTTTTAGATTTTGCAAGTCAGTTTAGATGATGATATTGGGGGTTTTACCACGGCTGCATCAAACTGTTGCAGGCGTTTGCTTAAGTTGGGTAATTCATCCCTTGGGTAAGTTCAGCTTCAGTTTTCTAGGGATTCTTTTCTCTGCTCTTCTCCCCTGAAATCCAGCGAATGACTTCCTGAGAAGACAAGACTGACTGTTTACTAGCAAGCCTTTGTGCATTACCAGTTCATTGATATCAGGAAAACGTAGGGCTCTGTGTTTAGAGATTTACTGCAGAAGTGTGGAATTACGGATTTGATAAACTAGTGCCTATGATTTACTTAACTTATGTTTGATATAGTAGTAAGGGTTTTATGAATGTGGATAACTTTGTGTGCCAACAGCTCGGAATTGTATGTGTGTAGGCAGAAGGACTTTTCTGCTTCCAAAGTTATTTAATTTTTTTTGTGTTTGAATGTTTTTGTAAGTGTTAAAAGTGTAAAAAAAAATATATAAAAAATATTCTTACCACAAAATACTTCGTGGATCATTATTTTTATAACATTGTTTTTAAAAGCTTTTAGAAACTTAGAGGGTATTATTTTAGGGCTTTTTTTTGGTTGGATTGTTTTTCAGGAATCCTATTCACTTTGCCAGAAGCTGCCAATATCAGTTACCCTGTAACTCATGAACCGAGTACAGCACTGTATTCAGGTGAAATCTGTGATTCCATTGACAGAATATTTGAACTGAGATAGACCTGTGTGGTGCCTCTGCTCTGGAAGGACAGTGCATAATTCAGAGTTCTGTGAAAAACATCCAGAAGGGTTTGTTTGTGTCATTCTAAGTATACAAACAGCCCTTCTATTTTTACAGAATTCGTGTTTACTTCAAAACACCCTATGAAATAATTTCTTAATTTTGAAAGTGCTGGAATTATGCAGAAAATTGAGCAATGTAAAAGCGTACCTAGTAAGCCTTCTCTGAATTAAGTACATGTTTTATCTAGCTCATATATTAAAGCCTTTATCTTTTGGCTCACATACAAACAAGTTCATTTTGAATTGGGTAATTTTTTGTAATCTGCATTTTGCTGCAAAGCACTGCACCCAATAGTACAGTGAATGCTGTCTTTTATCTTCCTATTGATAAAGTTAGGCTAAGTTTACTTCTATCTGGTGACCACTTAAATCTGTTTAACTAGATTTAAGTAAAATTAACGAGTGAGGCTGGCTATTAATTGTTTATCTCAGCAAAGTCTCCTGGTTTGTAATTAATCCAGTAGATTAAAATGTTTCCCCCTAGTTGGCTGACCTACTTAGGCAGAGCTGGCTTCACACCTACTGCTCTTAAAATGTGATTCATTTACCCCTCCCTTCATTCTTTTTTAGTTCTGCAGTCATGTCCCATTTGCCCCACACCCCTTCAGGAAAATAGAGCAGTGTCAAAATCCCAGGCAATTAATAGCCTTTTGCACTTCTCTTTTAGTAGGTTTCTGTAACAAACTCTTCTATATTAAACCAGTCTTTATAATTAGCATCCTCATATTGCAAGATAGAAAATAGTTACAGTCCTCTTACTTTGATTGAGGGGATGACAGACACAGACAGCTCCTTTGGGTTTGGTCTAGAAAGCTGAGGTCATGTTTTATTGGGTAGTGTGTTGCCCCCCAGCAGCCTGACTGCAGTGCCGACAAAAAATGAGTGACGAACGTGTACGGAGGCAGAAGGCTGAAGCTGCTGAAGTCTTGGCATGGCTGCAGAGCATGGGGGTTTGACCATTTTAAAACTTCTTCCTTCTCAAATATTTGTATTAAAACATGATAAATGTCTACTTTTGGAGTAAAACAGGTGTGATGTGCGGTTGCTTTGATTTAAAAAAAAAAAAAACCACACCCAACTTGCTCTTGACTTGGGTATATGCCATTCTGTAGTATGATGCTGACACCTACAGGCAGTTGTCTTGTTTCCAGAAGATGAGGCTGGGATTTGGGTGCTTGCTGGAGTATCCATGTTTTCCTGGTAAAGCAGATTCTCTCTGAACAGATTCCATTAGACTCACTTTCCACTGTTTTGTTTTATCATAGTATTTTCAGCCCTGGTGCATCATACAGCTGTAGTGTGTGTCACTGTCCTTTGTATACTAAACAATAAACTCTGTTGTGACTACTTGAAGCACTTATGGTACAGAAAACACAACTGTAGTCATTAATCTGCAGCTCTTCAGCAGGCTTTAAAGGAACAGGGGGCCAAAAGGATTCCTTACCAGCAAAGCAATTTTTCAATTTGCAGCATGGCCCACACCTGTTACAAACAGTGAATTTGAAAGCTAAAATACAGTAAATCAGGCTTTCCAGCTTTCAAAGCTGATGTGGTCCTCTATGTGGTGTGGCACTCTCACATGAGACAAAAGTGGGCAATGTCTTTCACAAGACTAAACCAACAGAAGAGACTTCTGTTCTAATCCAAGCTCCTGTTGTCAGCGTAAGCCTATGTAATACCACATAAAGCTTGAAAGAGAATGGCATGTGATGTCTTCTCCCCTAGAGTCTTCTTTTAAATGATCCCTGAAAGCGTACTTCTGTTGTCAGCTGCGGGAAGCGAGATTCAAAAAATAAGCCTGTTAGGGCAGAGTGGTCCGTGCCTTACTGAGACGGTGCCTGTGGTCCGCCCCTGGCCTTACTCAGCTTCTGCTGATCACGTGCAACACGCAGAATGCAAACTATGAATTCTTCTTGTCTCTTCTTCTCTGTTCTCTTTGCCATCATTTTATTGACTGTAGCCAAAATGGCAACTTTTCCCAGCACTGCTATGAGAGGCTGTTCAAAACCTTGCTAGTACAAACAACTGTTGTCAGATCAGATGAACTAAACCCCCTACACCCCCACCTGCTACCCAGCACATGGTCTCAAGAAGCCTGATACCAGCTACCTCCACACTCCACCAGCAACAAGGCTGTGAGAAGAACCAAACACCTGCCACCCTGCCCAGCTCAACTTCAAACTCAAGCTGGAAGACACTCAGCATGATGTATTTTTTAAGCTCTCTTTGTGTCTATTGATAAAACTGAAATTAACGGAATCAATTTTCATGTGAATGATAATTAATTTCTGAAAACACCAGTTTCCTGATCTGACATACCTCTTTTATTGCTAAAAGTATTTGGTGACATTAGTCGAGTAATACAACTTCTCTGTTGGTTTCTACATGAGCTTGGGTTTTTTTGCATTGAAGGAAAGAGCATTCAGAGAGCAAGTCAACTGGTTTTTGTAAGAAGGACAGTTAATGTCTTCAAAGATATTAAAGTGGTCCATGTTAGGGTCTGGGTTTTTTTTAATGCAAACTCTGTAAAGTGACAGGAAGATGAAGGAGGGACATTGTTTTTTATTGTTCCCTGCCTCAGTCCTGCCCAAGAGAAGGTACTTATTAATATGGGAGTAGGTCATCAGGGACTTGACTTAGGACTCTGCGTGGCTTTAAGCAGAAAGCCATATAGATGAATAAGAAATGTTTGGGT